TTTTTTCAAATAAAATTTTTGCAATTCTTAGCTACTTCTCCATACTTCTGCGTTTCAGTAAATCTCAGAATCTTTATCCTTAACGGTTACTAGGACATGAAGTCCAACAACATATCGGTAGCGAGTCGGCTTCGTCACGTGGCTTATTTCGTGCGGGTGCTGGATGCTACTTTATACTTACCAGAAATGAAAGATCTTCTCGTATACTACGATTTTTTTGATGAAGATTTCAAACAGCAAGTGATAAAAACGAAAACCCTCATGGTATGTAAGTTGGTTTATAAAATAAGGAAAAATAGTCCTGCCAATGTTTACTTCAGCACGAAGAAATCAAACATCTTAATCATTTTATCGATGAATTACACAAAGATATTATGGTGACGCGGAAGCAGATTGGTTTGCTTATGGACGACATTCACAAACTGAAGACAGTTCGAAGTATGTTTTTAAGACTATCATTTCTTCTTTTGGCATTTTTCTGTTTGCCCTGAGACTCCTTTCCCTTGCCCACATTCACTGGCCCTCCACCTATCATCGAATGTATTTGTCTATATTGGAAATTTACGGAGATGATGCGGAAGGAGGAAGGGGAAGTTGTCGGGAGGGATCTGAATTTTGCATATTTTAACTCTCCTGAACTCTGAATCTTTTAACCTTTAACAAAATTACATAATCGAGTGGACACAAAGGGTGTGATTGCGCAACACAAAGAAGTAGAAATGTTAGTTAGACCTTTGCGTTTTTAGAGCTTTGGGCACGTGCGCAAATGCACCAAGTCATAAGAGGATGTTTTCGATCATGCTTTTTTATAGGAAAATGTCACGCCGGGTCACAGATTCGATATCCCAAATACGCATGCAAACGTAAGTGTTATCGTTTGGTGCAATGCTCTTCCTCAAAAGGTCTCACTCCCTCAATTGTAGAGATCACGAGTGTCATCCTATGTAGGTTCGCACATAGACAAAGCTTTATACACTGCCTTCCAATAGACCCCGCTGAAAGTTATCTTACTGGTTTTTCCTTAATTAAGTCGTGACCACAAATCTGGGCTAATTTCTCAAGTTGATTTTGGTTACAGAGCAGCCCGGGCCATCAGGCTGCACTTTGTGGGATATCAAATTATCTTCTGATATCACCGATGATGGGAACACTGCATTCATGGTACTGGAAGAGGTTTGACCATGTATACGTTTTCCCTGTATATAAGAGCAATAAAGAGTACAGACTCCATTATCTTCTGGCGTAATTCATAATTAAAACATCTCTACAATTGCGGTTAACAAACTACCTTCTTTTTTCACCTCACATAGTACTCATGCTAGTTATTCTTAGAACATTCTTGATTAGCATGTTGTATTAGTACTTGTCTCTAAGAAGCCTGATTTTGAGAGGATGCTGTATCTGTTTATAAATATGAGTGCATATTTTTCAACAAGTAACACACGTCATTGAGATATTTATTAATTTTTCCTCAGGCACCATATCACTTCATCTTGTTTGTGATGTCTTATGCGACAATCACAATGCCACACTAAACGCTAATTCACGAATGTGAACGTGCATGACGGAATGAGCGGCACCGATCTTGCGTTAATGAACGATTCAATTTCATTTTTGAGCTCCTAAACCAACCGAGATATTTTTATTGATGAGAGCTTGGTGGAGGTAAGAGTGATAGCAAAGCATACAAACCTGTAAGTGCATATCTGTTTCAAGGAATCGTGTCTTTACTAATGACAACATATTTGAATCTTTAATGAGTGTAGCGTGTTCTGGATAAAATGGTAAAAGACTGCGTAAAGCGTGCATGGTTCGTTCAGTAAGTCGGAAATCTGACGTCGATAAGAGGGTTGGAAATAGGAAGAAGACTCCTGCAATTACCAGCTTCATTAACACTAATAGTCAATTTATTATTATACATTTGCAGAGATGAGGCCATCGAAAGATGGGTATAGAGTCGGCTTCTATTTGTCTGCTAAAATCGTGGTATTGGAGAGGAATGGTGGTCTCGCTAGCGCATGGTTAACGCAATAACTCAGTTATTATGGAGGGGCGAAAGTATTTTGGCATTGAATTTATTCTCACCAGACGCTACCATAAGACGGACTTTTTCTTCGTTAGCTCCAGTCAGTAAGTTGACAATTGTCCACATACATTCCTATAAAAAACCCACTAAACTCATTGCTCAACTGATGACTGTGATGCTAACAAATTGCACTTTAATTCATGGAAATACCTTTCGAAGTTTTTTCTCCGATGCTCTGACACCCTCCAACAGCATTTCGAAAATATTCCAATCCAAAAACAATAACTACAAAGGAGCAATAGATCAATATTTCAATCATGAGGGGAGCAGAAAGTACTCGCATCCATGTGGTCCTGACTGCTTGCAGCTATGTTGGAACACATCCAAGCAGCTTCTCTTCTAACATCTGGTCTGGATTGATAAGACATCGAGCGAGACTGCAATGCTTGGCTCTGCTTGCTATCAATCACCGTATATGATGTTAATTT